TTTGCCACACCAGTAATATTGTTTACTTTTTGGAATTTATTGTTTACCACTTTGTTGAATCATAACGTTAATTCAAAGAAAGTGTACTAATTCACACTATACCAGCCATAAATAATTCTGTCCAAATTTTGAAAATAATCATAACTTGCAATAGTCAACTGGACTTCTTCATAAATCGGATAAATTCTCGGAAGCTGCACAACAATAAAAATTTTAATAAAATGTTAATGAGAATTTTCTGCAATCATTGTTGAAACTGAAATTTTATACATATATTATTTTTTAAATTTCTCTTAAAATCTGTAACTATATACATATATGTATATATATACACACATTTGTTTAACACAGATGTAAACAGAAACTTCCATTGAGCAATTTAGAACAATTTGCTTTTTGAACATTTCCAAACTTTGAATATTAATACATATATATATGTAAGTATATTTTCTACTATAAGTGATCACTCTTTAATTTTCATATTATTATTCTTAAATTGTAGAATAAACTTGGAACAACAACAACTTTTAATAACATATATGAATCATATTTTAATAACAATTAAAAATTTTATGAACCGGATCAATGAAATTCATTGTTTTTTTATTTTTATTGTAAATATAGTGAAATGTAAATATGTAAACGGTTGTAATACTTGTAAATTTCACATTCTGTTCGTCAGCCATACGAATTAACATACACTTATACTTTGTAGATCGATAAAAACAGAAACTGTACAAAATATTAAACGTATAGCTCATCATGCAAGTATAGCAATAATTGCTGGTAATAATGAAAATGAAGCTGCATTAGTACAAAATTGGTAAGAAATTTAATTTTAAGATTTACACTTTAAATTGTTAAATTTATTTTGAAATATTAAAATAAAATTTATTCGACATAATTTATATTATAAAATTTAAAGGTACAATACAAAACCTGAGCAGAAACGTTTTGAAAAAGAACATCGGCTTTTATATAATGCATCAATCAACGATAAGTTAAGAAAATTTTATAATCATCCATCAAGACCAGATCCATTAACATCATCACCATCAAATTGTGATAAAACTATTGAAGATGATTTTATATCACCACAGCCACAAGTTCCAAATTATGGTGACAGTAAGTTATATGTTAATAAAAATATTCAGTTTTATTTCAATTTGGTTTTTGAAAATCATTTGGGTCCAAAATTTTTCTCGAATTAATTTTCATTCATTATAGAATTTATTTATTTCAATTGTTACTCAAAGAAATCCATAGCATCACCAATTTTTTAAGATTTTGTTAGAAAACTTTATTACTCTCGCTTTTTTACAATAATATTCGATCTCCATTATTATTTAGAAAAAAATATGATTCTGATGTAACCTTAAAATTTTCTAAAAAAATTTTAATAATAATAATTTATCACAATTGTTATAAAAAACTTTTGTAGTTATTGTTTTTTTTAGTACATTTTTATGAATATTTTAGTGATTGGTCTGATCCAGACGTATATCCAATACCAAGATTTTCATCAGAATATTGTTTTCAATCATTACCACAAAAATCTGTATGGGATAAAATTATGTATGATCATGATAATTTCAATGATTTATTAGAACATCGTCAACATTTACCATTTGGTAATGAAATAAGATCATGTTTAATATTCCGAAAATTACCATTAATAACATCAGATCAATCAGATTATGCTGAAAATATTATATACTTTAGTCAACTTACACAAGCTTTAGCTACAAAATTAGAAACTGAAATTCTTCGTAAAAATCGTAATAGTAAACATAATACAATGGGCGCATTATATTGGCAATTAAATGATGTTTGGATAGCACCATCATGGTCTAGTATTGATTTTAATGGAAATTTTAAGGTTAAAAAAATAAAATATACTAACTAGGTTTTACAATTCAATAATTTAAATCTTTTGTTATTTAAATTTTAATAAAAAAAATTAATATTAATTATTTTTAGTTTCTTCATTATTGGGCTAAAGAATTTATGAAACCAATATCAATAATAGCACATTCAAATAAAAGTACAAATGATGTTGAAATAACAGTTATAAGAGATACCATCGAAAAGTCACCATTAACCTTTAATATTATTCGGAATACTTTCTTATATAATACATTATCTCCAGCAAAAATATATGCAGCTAAAACTATTTCTATTGTAATTACTCTTCCTTAATACATGTAAAACAAAAAAATATTTTAAAATTGATTAATTATATTTTAGAAACCAAATAGTGTATTGTCAGCTGATACATTCCAACTTGAATCAAATTTAGATCCAAAAACATATTTTTATGAGATTCTTCTTAAAGATGGTAGAGGTGATACTATTGCTAAAACATATCATTTTCCTCAACCTATTAAAAAAGCAGTCGGATTAAGAGATCCAAATATAGAGGTAAAATTTATAATTGTAGAATAATACTTAGTTAATAAATTGCTTAATTTTTCATTTAACCAAAAAAAAACAGGTGGAAATTTATACAAGCAAATATCAGGCTCCAATTTCAAGTATTAGTATTGGTGTTAAAGTTAGTTATCCAGCATTATTCGTTTACATAGAAATTGTACATGATAATATTACAAGTTATACATTATCAGATAATGGTTTTATACAAACTGATCCAATTAAAATGATATATTTAGAATATAGAAATGATTATAAAATATCAACAGAACATATTAAAATTTATACAGTAAATCAATATATGAATGAAAATTATCCAACAACTGAAGAACTACCAGAAAGATGTAAAAAATAGAGATTTTTTGCTTTGTATAAAATTGTATTAAATATTTATTATGAGAAAATTTCTTTTTTAATGATTAAAATTATGTATCCAAAAAATTCCTATTGCACTTTTTAAATTGTGTATTCGAAACTTTTAATTATTATAATCTCTTGTATTTTTAAATTACCTTTATTAGCGTAAAATTGATATTGCATTTGATTGCTCTAATAAAAATTTTATTGCTTAATGTAGCAATTCATTATATTAAAAATTCGATTCAATCTGCAATCCAAACTTACATAGTACGTAAATAAATATATTTATAAAAAAATACTAAATACGTTAATTCAGAAAGAATAACACCCGAATCATAACAGCTTGAAGTTTACCATATTAAAGTTTAGTTTAGAAACTAGAGAAAATTGCAAAATTACGTCAATTAATTGAAAAACTAACAAAAATTTTTTTAAATTCAAATTTTTCAAACTCTGAACACACTCAACTTCGAAATTTGAAAATATCACAATGAAGAGGAATATCAATTAGAAAGCCGTTGTTTTAGGCTCCCCAAAACATATTTAAACATAGTAAAGTACTTAGAAAGAAAATTCTGTGAATTTACATGAAACTTTATTATATTTCAAAATTTATTATTTCATGCAAACAAAAAAAAAATTTTCTTATAAAAATGGTAAAAATTGAATTTGAACTCAAGCACATTTTTTTTGTATAAACACAAAAAATGTCAAAATTTTGACGGATCCAGACCTAAGTCCGGTCTAAAAATTTACCAGTGACTACCCTTAACCCTCGCGGTCGTACTGCAATTCTAAAAATCTAAGTCTAGGAAATGTTTTGAAAACTTTTAACTTAATCTAATAACACATTCACACAACAACTAACAAACTCAACAACATTCACACAAAATATATAGGAACTAACTCTTAATATAAACCACCAAATTATAGTATACATATATTTTTTTCAAAAATATTTTTATTTTTTAAATATTCACGAGGATAAAATTTTTCTTTTTTCATTTTCAATTCAAAATGAAAATATTATTAAAATTTTTTTTTTAGAAAATGGTAAAATTTGGATTCGAACTCAAGACAAATTTTTTTGAAAAATTGCTGTCAATTTAAAATCAAAACATTATGAAGAGAAAAATATATAAGGAATTAGAATTGAATTAAAATTTTAAAACGGATAACAAAATGGCTAAAATTACTTAAATATGCACATTAAGGAGTCTAAGGAAATTTATTAAGAAAAAATGAATCCAATGAGCGTTTACCATAAAGCTGAAAATAACAAGAACAATGAAAATTTCGAAATGTTTAAATGAACTTTTTTTAACAATAACCAGAATATTATGAAATTTTCATCAGGAATGAATTTTCAAATCAAAAACATTTTTAATACCAAAAAGGAGACATGTAGTGTACACGGAGTTTGAAATTTTTATAGAAAAAATGGAAAAATTCAAATTAACAAAGCTGAGAATTTGGAATTAAGGTAAGCAGCTGTATTTTCGACCTATTTTTCAAACCTCTGTCTAAAGAACACCTTTCTTTGATTTTGCTGTATTAGTACATTGGTTTCGATCGGTTTTAAACAAATTTTTGGATGAAATTTTTAATTTTTAAATTTTAGCATAAAATATCTACCTAATTCAGTCTGTAAGCAAGCTATAGAAACTTATGGAAAATTATTATTATAGTGACGAATTATTTGTATACATAATGGTCCATGCTTATAACAAAAATTGGTTGTGATTAAGAAGCACAAATATGTACGAAGTTTTACAATTTATTTTGTATATATTTTAAAATTACATTTTCTAACAATTTGATAACATTCTTACTTTCTCACTATATAAAACTATTTCCTCAAAAAAAGGATAACAAGAATGTTCCTAATATAGTCTTAAAAGAATGTATCTAAAACGGTCTTAAATTTTTTTAATTGTATTTGTAACCGTGAAGAAAAACATAGGACCACAATAATAAATTGAACATTCTCTGAAACGCAATGAAATTACAACATTCTCTGCAAAAAGTTGAACTATTCATGCCCCAACAAAAACTAAATAATAAAGTCAAAATTATATCGGAAGCGCTGTGGACTCGAAAATCACCTTAGTTATGGAACATTTATTTAAAAACATATTTAATTTTTATTTGTAACTTTATGTAGATTTTTTTAGAACCGAATTATATGCGCGAGACCGAATTATAGCCGTATGACTGAAGAAAGATGCCCTGATTTAACAACATTACACAAAAGTGCAATAACCCCATTTGATTTGTTGGAAATTTTTGGTCGAAAATACCGTCGAATTGGATGTTTTTCTGTCCCTCACACAAATAATCATTTTTATCGTTTTCATTATCCTATTGAACGATATTTTCATATACCAAAATCATTTACAAATAAAGAAGATTTAAGAAACTTTTATTTTGAGATCATTTTTCGACACATTGGACTTATTGAGAGTCAAATGTGTCTATTATAATTTAAAAATCTTAATACCGAAATAATTCAATCGATTAACATTAATTTAGGAAAAAGTTTAACTTATATTGCCAAATCAAATTCAGGATATAAACATACAAGAGCAGTATTACAACAAATGATACTAATAATTTTGAAAATTTAATAAAAATTTTATCATTATTTTGAAAATAATAATTCAATAAATTTTACAGATTTATGATGGGGAATGGCATCGTCTTCAAGTTGAAATTATTCCAATGAGAGAAGTGATTGAAAATAATGATGACAATTATGAAGAATATTGGAGTAAAACAATTAAATTTCATGAAGATTGTATTCTTTTTGGTGAAGGTAATATTCTAGATTCAACACCATTTAATACAATTGATCAAATTGGAATATTTTTTAAAAATAATTTAAAGAATTCGTTTACAGATGTAAGATTTTCTATAACTATAGGCAAGTTTATGTATTAGAAAAGTTTCTATTTTAGTTCAATGTGCTTTGAATGAGGATGCAGTATAATTATGAAGAAATAACATGTAAAAAAACTACATAATTAATAAACAGATTATTTGAAAAGTGTTACTAAATTAAGAAGGAATTTTCTATTAAATACGCTATGCTTAATAAAATTCTTTAGCTAGACTTTAATACATTTTAAAACTTGCATTTATTTTAGGTACGCTTACTTTAGGTACGACATCAAGAGTTTAAATTACGATTTTATGGCTGCTATTTGTCGTTCTTTGCCAAAAATGAAGAAGCAATACGTTGTAAATGCTCTCTAGTATCTGACTACTCAGTATTGATACACACATGCCTATAATATAAAAAGAATTTCAAAAAATATAATTAATAATTTTGGATTTATTGGACTTGGTCACAACAAAAATACTTTAGTTAAATTTAAAAAGATAAGCAAAAATATCATATTCGCAGAGATTTATTAAAATTTATTATATGAGGGGTGGTCAAGCTCTTCGTTAATTCAAGCCATATTTAAAAATTTGAAATTTTTCGAGAGCCAAAATTTAAATTGTATTAAAAAGTTATCATTCTTAACTTTCATATCATTCTTAACTAAAATGGAATTAAATTTTTATATTAAATAATTTCCATTTATTTTTCAGTAACTTAATTTAACTTTTTTAGTAAAATTTTTGTAAAATATATTAACACAGAGGTTAAAATAGAACTTGGGTATATTTATCATTTGACTCGGGAGTCGCAGTTTGCCACACCAGTAATATTGTTTACTTTTTAGAATTTATTGTTTACCACTTTGTTGAATCATAACGTTAATTCAAAGAAAGTGTACTAATTCACACTATACCAGCCATAAATAATTCTGTCCAAATATTGAAATTAATCATCACTTGCAATAGTTAACTGGACTTCTTCATAAATCGGATAAATTATCGGAAGCTGTACAACAATAAAAATTTTAATAAAATGTTAATGAGAATTTTCTACAATCAATGTTGAAACTGAAATTTTATACATACATATATTATTTTTTAAATTTCTCTTAAAATCTGTAACTATATACATATATGTATGTATATATAAACACATATTTGTTTAACACAGGTGTAAACAGAAACTTCCATTGAGCAATTTAGAACAATTTGCTTTTTGAACATTTCCAAACTTTGAATATTAATACATATATATATGTAAGTATATTTTCTAGTATAATTGATCAGTCTTTAATTTTAATATTATTATTTTTATATTGTAGAATAAACTTGGAACAACAACAACTTTTAATAACAAATATGAATCATATTTTAATAACAATTAAAAATTTTATGAACCGGCATTGTTTTTTTATTTTTATTGTAAATATAGTGAAATGTAAATATGTAAACGGTTGTAATACTTGTAAATTTCACATTCTGTTCGTCAGCCATACGAATTAATATACACTTATACAATGTAGATCGATAAGAACAGAAACTGTACAAAATATTAAACGTATAGGTCATCATGCAAGTACAGCAATAATTGCTGGTAATAATGAAAATGAAGCTGCATTAGTGCAAAATTGGTAAGAAATTTAATTTTAAGATTTAAGAACTCTAAATTGTTAAATTTATTTTGAAATATTAAAATAAAATTTATTCGACATAATTTATATTATAAAATTTAAAGGTACAATACAAAATCTGAGCAGAAACGTTTTGAAAAAGAACATCGGCTTTTATATAACGCAACAATCAAAGATAAGTTAAGAAAATTTTATAATCATCCATTAAGACCAGATCCATTAACATCATCACCATCAAATTGTGATAAAACTATTGAAGATGATTTTATACCACCACAGCCACAAGATCCAAATTATGGTGACAGTAAGTTATATGTTAATAAAAATATTCAGTTTTATTTCAATTTGATTTTTGAAAATCATTTGGGTCCAAAATTTTTCTCGAATTAATTTTCATTCATTTTAGAATTTATTTATTTCAATTGTTACTCAAAGAAATCCATAGCATCACCAATTTTTTAAGATTTTATTAGAAAACTTTATTACTCTCGCTCTTTTACAATAATATTCGATCTCCATTATTATTTAGAAAAAAATATGATTCTGATGTAACCTCAAAATTTTCCAAAAAAATTTTAATAAAAATAATTTATCACAATTGTTATAAAAATTTTTTTGTAATTATTGTTTTTTTTTAGTACATTTCTATGAATATTTTCGTGATTAGTCTGATCCAGACGTATATCCAATACCAAGATTTTCATCAGAATATGGTTTTCAATCATTACCACAAAAATCTGCATGGGATAAAATTATGTATAATCATGATAATTTCAATGATTTGTTAGAACATCGTCAACATTTGCCATTTGGTAATGAAATAAGATCATGTTTAATATTCCGACAATTACCATTAATAACATCAGATCAACCAGATTATGCTGAAAATATTATATACTTTAGTCAACTTACACAAGCTTTAGCCACAAAATTAGAAACTGAAATTCTTCGTAAAAATCGTAATAGTAAACATAATACAATGGGTGCATTATGTTGGCAATTAAATGATGCTTGGATGGCACCATCATGGTCTAGTATTGATTTTAATGGAAATTATAAGGTAAAAAAAATAAAATATACTAACTAAGTTTTACAATTCAATAATTTAAATCTTTTGTTATTTAAATTTTAATAAAAAAAATTAATATTAATTATTTTTAGATTCTTCATTATTGGGCTAAAGAATTTATGAAACCAATATCAATAATAGCACATTCAAATAAATGTACAAATGATGTTGAAATAACAGTTATAAGAGATACCATCGAAAAGTCACCATTAACCTTTAATATTATTCGGAATACTTTCTTATATAATACATTATCTCCAGCAAAAATATATGCAGCTAAAACTATTTCTGTTGTAATTACTCTTCCTTAATACATGTAACACAAAAAAATATTTTAAAATTGATTAATTATATTTTAGAAACCAAATAGTGTATTGTCAGCTGATACATTCCAACTTGAATCAAATTTAGATCCAAAAACATATTTTTATGAGATTCTTCTTAAAGATGGTAGAGGTGATACTATTGCTAAAACATATCATTTTCCTCAACCTATTAAAAAAGCAGTCGGATGAAGAGATCCAAATATAGAGGTAAAATTTATAATTTTAGAATAATACTTAGTTAATAAATTGCTTAATTTTTCATTTAACCAAAAAAAAACAGGTGGAAATTTATACAAGCAAATATCAGGCTCCAATTTCAAGTATTAGTATTGGTGTTAAAGTTAGTTATCCAGCATTATTCGTTTACATAGAAATTGTACATGATAATATTACAAGTTATACATTATCAGATAATGGTTTTATACAAACTGATCCAATTAAAATGATTTATTTAGAATATAGAAATGATTATAAAATATCAACAGAACATATTAAAATTTATACAGTAAATCAATATATGAATGAAAATTATCCAACAACTGAAGAACTACCAGAAAGATGTAAAAAATAGAGATTTTTTGCTTTGTATAAAATTGTATTAAATATTTATTATGAGAAAATTTCTTTTTTAATGATTAAAATTATGTATCCAAAAAATTCCTATTGTACTTTTTTAAATTGTGTATCCGAAACTTTTAATTATTATAATCTCTTGTATTTTTAAATTACCTTTATTAGCGTAAAATTGATATTGGATTTGATTGCTCAAATAAAAATTTTATTGCTTAATGTAGCAATTCATTATATTAAAAATTCGATTCAATCTGCAATCCAAACGTACATAGTACGTAAATAAATATATTTATAAAAAAATAGTAAATACGTTAATTTTCTGAATAACACCCGAATCATAACAGCTTGAAGTTTACCATATTAAAGTTTAGTTTAGAAACTAGAGAAAATTGCAAAATTACGTCGATTAATTGAAAAACTAACAAAAATTTTTTTAAAAATTAAAAATTCAAATTTTTCAAACTCTAAACACACGCAACTTCGAAATTTGAAAATATCACAATGAAGAGGAATATCAATTAGAAAGCCGTTGTTTTAGGCTCCCCAAAACATATTTAAAGATAGTAAAGTACTTAGAAAGAAAATTCTGTGTATTTACGTGAAACTTTATTATATTTTAAAATTTATTATTTCATGCAAACAAAAAAAAAATTTTCTTATAAAAATGGTAAAAATTGAATTTGAACTCAAGCATATTTTTTTTGTATAAACACAAAAAATGTCAAAATTTTGACGGATCCACCCCTAAGTCCGGTCTAAAAATTTACCAGTGACTACCCTTAAGCCTCGCGGTCGTACTGCAATTCTAAAAATCTAAGTCTAGGAAATGTTTTGAAAACTTTTAACTTAATCTAATAACACATTCACACAACAACTAACAAACTCAACAACATTCACACAAAATATATAGGAACTAACTCTTAATATAAACCACCAAATTATAGTATACATATATTTTTTTCAAAAATATTTTTATTTTTTAAATATTCACGAGGATAAAATTTTTCTTTTTTCATTTTCAATTCAAAATGAAAATATTATTAAAATTTTTTTTTTAGAAAATGGTAAAATTTGGATTCGAACTCAAGACAAATTTTTTTGAAAAATTGCTGTCAATTTAAAATCAAAACATTATGAAGAGAAAAATATATAAGGAATTAGAATTGAATTAAAATTTTAAAACGGATAACAAAATGGCTAAAATTACTTAAATATGCACATTAAGGAGTCTAAGGAAATTTATTAAGAAAAAATTAATCCAATTAGCGTTTACCATAAAGCTGAAAATAACAAGAACAATGAAAATTTCGAAATGTTTAAATGAACTTTTTTTAACAATAACCAGAATATTATGAAATTTTCATCAGGAATGAATTTTCAAATCAAAAACATTTTTAATACCAAAAAGGAGACATGTAGTGTACACGGAGTTTGAAATTTTTATAGAAAAAATGGAAAAATTCAAATTAACAAAGCTGAGAATTTGGAATTAAGGTAAACTGCTGTATTTTTGACCTATTTTTCAAACCTCTGTCTAAAGAACACCTTTCTTTGATTTTGCTGTATTAGTACATTGGTTTCGGTCGGTTTTAAACAAATTTTAGATGAAATTTTTAATTTTTAAATTTTAGCATAAAATATCTACCTAATTCAGTCTGTAAGCAAGCTATAGAAACTTATGGAAAATTATTATTATATAGTGACGAATTATTTGTATACATAATGGTTCATGCTTATAACAAAAATTGATTGCGATTTAGAAACACAAATATGTACGAAGTTTTACAATTTCTTTTTTTTTTATTGTATATTTTTCAAAATTACATTTTCTAACAATTTGATAACATTCTTACTTTCTCACTATATAAAACTATTTCTTCAGAAAAAGGATAACAAGAATGTTCCTAATATAGTCTTAAAAGAATGTATCTAAAACGGTCTTAAATTTTTTTAATTGTATTTGTAACCCTGAAGAAAAACATAGGACCACAATAATACAAATTTTTTCTTAAATTTTATATGAAATTACAACATTCTCTGCAAAAAATTGAACTATTCATGCCCCAACAAAAACTAAATAATAAAGTCAAAATTATATCGGAAACCCTGTGGACTCGAAAATCACCTTAGTTATGGAACATTAATTTAAAAACATATTTAATTTTTATTTGTAACTTTATGTAGATTTTTTTAGACCCGAATTACATGCACGAGATCGAAGTATAGCCGTATAACTGAAGAAAGATGCCCTGATTTAACAACATTACACAAAAACGCAACATCCCCATTTGATTTGTTGGAAATTTTTGGTCGAAAATACCGTCGAATTGGATGTTTTTCTGTCCCTCATACAAATAATCATTTTTATCGTTTTCATTACCCTATTGAACGATGTTTTCATATACCACAATCATTTACAAATAAAGAAGATTTAAGAAACTTTTATTTTGAAATCATTTTGTACTTATTGAGGGTCAAATGTGTCTATTATAATTTAAAAATCTTAATACCGAAATAATTCAATCGATTAACATTAATTTAGGAAAAATTTGAACTTATATTGCCAAATCAAATTCAGGATATAAACATACAAGAGCAGTATTACAACAAATGATACTAATAATTTTGAAAACTTAATAAAAATTTTATCATTATTTTGAAAATAATAATTCAATAAATTTTATAGATTTATGATGGGGAATGGCATCGTCTTCAAGTTGAAATTATTCCAATGAGAAAAGTGATTGAAAATATTGATGACAATTATGAAGAATATTGGAGTAAAACAATTAAATTTCATGAAGATTGTATTCTTTTTGGTGAAGGTAATATTCTAGATTCAACACCATTTAATACAATTGATCAAATTGGAATATTTTTTAAAAATAATTTAAAGAATTCGTTTACAGATGTAAGATTTTCTATAACTATAGGCAAGTTTATGTATTAGAAAAGTTTCTATTTTAGTTCAATGTGCTTTAAATGAGAAATAACATGTAAAAAAACTACATAATTAATAAACAGATTACTTGAAAAGTGTTACTAAATTAAGAAGGAATTCTCTATTAAATACGCTATGCTTAATAAAATTCTTTAGCTAGACTTTAATACATTTTAAAACTTGCATTTATTTTAGGTACGCTCACTTTAGGTACGACATCAAGAGTTTAAATTACGATTTTATGGCTGTTATTTGTCGTTCTTTGCCAAAAATGAAGAAGCAATACGTTGTAAATGCTCTCTAGTATCTGACTACTCAGTATTGATACACACATGCCTGTAATATAAAAAGAATTTCAAAAAATATAATTAATTTTGGATTTATTGGACTTGGTCACAACAAAAATACTTTAGTTAAATTTAAAAAGATAAGCAAAAATATCATATTCGCATAGATTTATTAAAATTTATTATATGAGGGGTGGTCAAGCTCTTCGTTAATTCAAGCCATATTTAAAAATTTGAAATTTTTCGAGAGCCAAAATTTAAATTGTATTAAAAAGTTATCATTCTTAACTTTCATATCTTTCTTAACTAAAATGGAATTAAATTTTTATATTAAATAATTTCCATTTATTTTTCAGTAACTTAATTTAACTTTTTGAGTAAAATTTTTTAAAATATATTAACACAGAAGTTAAAATAGAACTTGGGTATATTTATCATTTGACTCGGGAGTCGCAGTTTGCCACACCAGTAATATTGTTTACTTTTTAGAATTTATTGTTTACCACTTTGTTGAATCATAACGTTAATTCAAAGAAAGTGTACTAATTCAAACTATACCAGCCATAAATAATTCCGTCCAAATTTTGAAATTAATCATCACTTGCCATAGTCAACTGGACTTCTTCATAAATCGGATAAATTCTCGGAAGCTGTACAACAATAAAAATTTTAATAAAATGTTAATGAGAATTTTCTACAATCAATGTTGAAACTGAAATTTTATACATCTTCTATTGAGCAATTTAGAACAATTTGCTTTTTGAACATTTCCAAACTTTGAATATTAATACATATATATATGTAAGTATATTTTCTAGTATAAGTGATCACTCTTTAATTTTAATATTATTATTTTTATATTGTAGAATAAACTCGGAACAACAACAACTTTTAATAACAAATATGAATCATATTTTAATAACAATTAAAAATTTTATGAACCGGCATTGTTTTTTTATTTTTATTGTAAATATATTGAAATGTAAACATGTAAACGGTACTATCCTTTAAATGTTCAAAGAGTTTGATGATTTATAATAGAATATTCATTACCAAATATTCATCACTTCATAAACTTAACTTTACTGCTTATCTTAAGTTCACTTTAAAACTGCGGTTGCTTTTGAATTTTGATTCTAAAGGCAATGGCTAAGTCAAGGATTACTCTATTCAAGGATTACAATATTCATATTATTTGAATTTTTTCAATTGATTGATTTTAAAAGCTGGAAGACTTTCACTTAAAGGTGCTTCTTTTAGCCTCTATTAATTTCAATCTTGCATCAAACAAAACTAAAATTCTTTTGAATTCTTTTCCTTTTGCGGTGCGAACAATTTTCTCATTTAAACAAGAAAATATCTTACTTGCATATTTCTTACTTATTTTG